GGTTCTACAGTGCAATAATTGAAAATTGTCAAATGGTTAATTTCTAATAAAAACTGTTTTTGTACGTAGTTCACACAAAATAAATGAATTGTAGAATAAATTAAAGCTATTGTCTTCACACGTCACACTATTGATTTTGTTGAAGCGTTTAGAGAGAGTATACGCGTTTTTGAAATCAATATCATCATCATTACAGTCCAGCAAATGTCCACTGTTGAACATAGATCTCCCCCAAAGATTACCGGCATCCATCGAATATCTGGATATCAAATCCGCGTTTCACTCAACTTGTACAGCCTTAGAACTAGTCTGCCACGTGACAACCATTCTCTGCCATCAGATGTTACCGAGTTAGTAGCCAACCCATAGCAACTTCAGTCTTCGTATCCGCTGGAATTTGTCTGTTACTCTGCTTCTATTGCGGATATCATCGTTACAGATTCCATCAAGCATAAAAACTTCGAACATAGCTCTCTTCATAGCTTGCTCAGTGACTTTGTGTTTCATCATACACTAAGCAGTGAAAGATATGTAGAGTAAAAGAATATTGTGAGCATCTCTGTTAGCGAACTGAAGAAATGACATGCAATTAAGATTGAGCAACTAATTTCTGTCTGTATTTACATACCCCAACATTTTGTTTACATTTATTTTATAAAAATACAGAGAATGTTTTGCTTAAGTTTATGAAACATAATAAATCTGTTGTGGTACACGGATAACTAAATATTGTATCTCTTAAAAATTCCTACATGAATATTAAATTTTGCACACATTTACATTCTTAGCGTCAACATATATTGTAGGGCCTAGTGCAAATTGTGTATATGACATTATTTTAGCATAGCATAGCATAAACACTCACGGCTGTCACTCAGAGGGGTAGGCAGAGACCACGGACTTCCATTTGACACGATCCTGACCTACCTCTTTCGCCTCCTTTACATCCATATATCTATACATACATGCTCGTCGGTTAAGGGTACTTTTAACGTGGCCCATTTTCAAAATATTTAAATTTATTTTACAGATAATATTACGAACACAATCAGTTTAAGTTATTAAACTATTAAAATAATTAATTTATACAGAACCCTTACGGTGTGATTACTACTCTACTTGCGCTTGTTTTCCCTCGGCGCCGCGCATAGGGCAAATCAGCGTTTAAAGTTGCAATTAACGACTAGTACAGGCGGGGATTGAATTCGATTTGCTAGCACTAAATTCATGGCGAGCGCTACTAAGATTTGGTTCATTAAATTTAATGGAATTTCACTTTAAATTCAATTTCAATAGAATCACGGCTTAATTATATATTATTAACCTAAAACAATTTTATACAAATACGTTACTTTAATGCAGGTATTGTTTAATATAAATATTTTTTATAGGAGACAGGGCAAATGAGCATTCGGCTCACATGAAGGTAATTGATTACGGCCACCCATTAACAACTGCAACAGGGGAATTGCAGATGCGTTGCCGGCCTTTGAAAAAGGAGAAGGCTCTTTTATTGAAGGTCCCTAAGTCGTATCGATCCGCAAAAATCTCTGGTGGTAGTCGATTCCCCAAGGAAATTGTGTGAGAAAGAAAACATCTAAATCGCACAATAGTGGACCGCCAGTCGTCCAGATGGTATGGATCGTATCGCGAATTTTGTCGCGATGTGCGATGGGAAATTGTGCGGCTGGAATTATTCCGAACAATTCCTCAGAGTACTCCCCGTGGTAGATGCGATAAAATATGCAAAGAGATGCAACATTTCTTTGCAGTGCCAATGAGTCAAGCCGATACCATTAATGTAACTATGTAAAAAAAAATGGGTTCTCGAGTAGCAGTCTCGTACCTGTAAGCAAAGTGTAGGGCGATCCTCCGCTAGATGTAATGCCGACCTGGTAAGACATGCAGGTAGTCAGTGGATGCAGGTGACTCAGGACCGTGATTTGTGGCATTTCTTGAGAGATGTTTTGCAGTGGACTTGTGAAGGGCTGTAATGATATAATCATGATGTAGTAATGAGTATTTATTATATAGTGGTAGTGTATGAATATCTACTACCCCATATTATTCCGTAGCTGTCGTAAGAGGCAACAAAGGGAAACAAATCATCTGGGCTACAGTGCTACAGTGCCTTCCTTATAAAGACAAAAAAACTGTGTTTGTCATTTCCCATACGAGGCAATCTATGGCGGAGGCCTATGTTCACCAGAGTACTTTAGTAGGCTGTAACGGTAACGGAATGTAAGTATTGGTCGGCTTCTTAGATGGAGTGATGACCTTGTAAAACATAGAGGAAGTCAATGCATGACGTCGGCTTAAGATATATTTTACAGGCTATATTCAGCAGTTAACTTTTGATGGCCTGTAATGATAATGATGTTGAATAGTAGGACCGTGCAAATAAAAAGATGCGACTTATTTTACGCAAGAATTTACGTGATTTTACAAAATTAATCACTCTGGTCACCAAATTTTAAATGCTTTAATCAAAACATCGCAGTTTAATTTACATTTAGATAAGGAAAGGAGCGTAGATTTTACCATAATAGAACTATAATTTAGAAAAAACCACGGCAACTCTTTTTGTTTTAAAATGTGGCGGCGCTGACGTCGCGCCACAAGCGAAACACATCCAAGCCTAAATCGCGCTATCAAAGTTCCGAATCATAAACAGTTATATATAGAACAGCTCCGAACATTCACACGGAGCGTTGGTCATTCCCCGGGCAGGACACTTTGCCCGGCGGGAGATCTCCCCTTTTCCTTCTACGGCCACAACTATAAGAATGAAAAAACGTTTTTCAAGAAAATTAAATTTTTTTAAATTTATTTATGTACACACAATTTTTTTTAATTTATTTGCGTACATTACTACTAATAATAAATAAATAATAATAATACATATACACTAATCACGGATAATATATGTATGTACATAAATTAATTACGGATATAATACAATATTAGTATTTAGTTTATGTACATACATATATTATTATATATTCATTATTATCTCTAAACTCTCTCGAAGGCTAAAATAATTGTTCCCATATACAAAGTCATATATTAGCCAACTCAAATTTTAATTGTTTTGGCTTGGCTTGGCTTTACTTTTATATACATATACATATATATATATATATATATATATATATATATATATATATATATATATATATATATATATAAATGCTCATAGCAAGATGCAAAGAATTCATTTAAACACTACTTTTGCTCGCGTTTTTGGCCGCCTAATAGTCGCAAATGATTTCTTTCACGTTGAGTTCAAATTACTTATAACATTATACATATAACATACCGTTACATTAATGACTAATAGAGTAAAGGTTGCTTTTTCAATAAGTCATCCACAAACGCTTTGTTGATGGCTTAGTGAAATCTTCACTCGGAATTATGTCCTTTCCTTCTGTCCTTAACATCTCTCATATGCGCAGCCTCGTGCCTTTGCACAACTTTAATGCATGAAGCTTACGCATCAGCAGAACAGAGACTCTAACTTTTACCTTTAAAGCTCTAGCAGATTTGCTAATATTGCACGTTGGCATTTCTTCGCTTACAAAATTATTTTTTATTTTTTTTATTTTTTTTTATTTTACAACAACTAAAATACATACTAATCAAAGTTCATAAATACAGTGCAACACAAACCTATATAAGATTTTTTCTGCACACTGCAGTTCGCCGTCTTTCCAGCGCAAACATTTTAATATTATTTAGAGTAAGAAGGTAGTTCGCTCATTTCTATACAAATAACTTGAGGATGAGTTGTAGTGGCTATTTAGTTAGAGTAGTATACAGGATGTTTGGAGAAAATATTATTTTATATTTTTGGAATATACATATGATAATTATATTACATATAGTAAGTATGTTAGTTTTTAGTTATATCATGTTAGTTGATTCAAAAAGTATGTTTTTAATTTGTATTTAATATTTTTGGGATTGATATTTTCCTTCAAGGTTTTAGGTAGTTTATTAATTAATTTAGGAATAATAATCTTATTTTGTTGATCGCCATACATATTATGAGTTTTAGCTATAATTAATTTAGGGTTATATGTACTTCGAAGCCGATATTTGTACGTAGGTATGACTTGTAATTTTGTATTAAAGAACTGTTCTACAAGTAAAGTGAGTTTTATTTTTTTTCTATTGGCAAGATACCACAGTATTTAAATAATTGGTTGTAATTGTCCTTATATTGTTGTTTGATTTTAGTGGGGACAATTGTTTTGATTATTCTAAGTTGTAATTCATGGATTCTACAAAGATGCGATTTCCATGTTCTACCATAGCTACTTAATCCGTATTGTATTATTGATTCGGCCAGAGCCTTATAAAGGGACAATAGTATAGGAAAGGGAACTTTACATCTAACGATAGAAAATTTGGCAAGTATGGTCCTTAACTTGTCACACACTTTATTAATATGGTGCGTCCATTTAAATCGACTGTCTATTATGAGTCCAAGGTAAGGTTGTTGTTCTACTAATTCAATATGAGTACAATTACAAGTCTGGTTAGACATGTTTTTATGGAGACATTGGTGGCTGTGGGCAACGAGTTTTAAAGGAACAGATACTCTATTATGACTGGATGAAATGTACATCATTTTTGTTTTTGTGGCATTCAGAACAAGCCCCGCATCGTGAGACCATTTCATAAGGTTAGTGAAATCTTCTTGCAATTTTTGTAATGCCACATATATGTCATTTTCCGCCGCTAGTATGCAGGTATCGTCTGCAAACTGATATATCTTGCAGTTTTTAATTACATTGGCAACATTATTAACATAGGTTAAGTAATGCAAAGGCCCAAGCACAGATCCCTGTGCAGTACCGTGAGTGACTGTTTTCTTTGTACTTATAGCATTTCCTACTTTAACTCTATATGCTCTCTCTTTAACATAGTCTTTGCACCAATTTAAAAGGGTTATTACAATGGTATTACAATATTACAATGGTAATTTGAAGACCAAACTAATGACCACCATTGCTTTCGGAGCGTAAAGGTCCTTGCGAAATTGGTCCAATAGTAAGTGCAGCACGACAAGTTTTGCCCGTACCCTTTGTTGCGTCGTGCGGGAAGACCCACAATGCGTGCACCACATTTTTTTTCACTTGGACATCTAAATTCTTAGTGTTGTAGTTGAGCAACCTCACAAATAGAGGGTCGTTTTGCATTTTCATAGTCGAATAAAAAGTATGCTGTCTGTTGTAACTGTCACAGCATATAAAACTCCACTGTTTAACATAGGGTCCCCCTATAGTTATTACAATATTACAATGGTAATTTGAAGACCAAACTAATGACCACCATTGCTTTCGGTGCGTAAAGGTCCTTGCGAAATTGGTCCAATAGTAAGTGCAGCACGACAAGTTTTGCCCGTACCCTTTGTTGCGTCGTGTGGGAAGACCCACAATGCGTGCACCATATTTTTTTCACTTGGACATCTAAATTCTTAGTGTTGTAGTTGAGCAACCTCACAAATAGAGGGTCGTTTTGCATTTTCATAGTCGAATAAAAAGTATCCTGTCTGTTGTAACTTATTGTGGGCTGTCACAGCATATAAAACTCCACTGTTTAACATAGGGTCCCCCTATAGATTGCCTCATAGAGGGGGATATTTGCCACAGTTGCCGCGCTTGGCAAACCGGTTGGCAACCGCAGTTTTTTATTTAGTCCTCATTAGAAAGACGCTGCTGCCCACGTCATGATTTGTTACCTTCTGTCGCTTTTTACGACACCTACGGAATGATATGGAGAAGTAGATATTCTGACGGACAAAAATTACAATAACCATTAATTTGGCTCTAGCATCTTTTATTTATTCCCACAGTTATATTCTGTTTTCCAAAAAGAATCAGATAAACATACACGACTTATCTACATATTTCTTGTATGTATAGATCATAATCAAATATAGTATAAGCTTATATATTATGTTTAATTTTACAATTGATAAAATAGTAATATGTTATCGTAGCGATATGCAGAAAGTCCATTGATGAAAGTGGCTCAAGATGGTGTTTTGTAACATTCTTAGAAAATCTTATGTTCAGCAGTTTATTTGTGAGAGATTGTACGGTAATGATGATGATGACGTGATCATACACAAACCTACAATTAATTTATTTGTAAGTCATTATGTTATGTACTTGACTATATTAAAACGGTTTTAGAAATAATGTTTGAGTATAGAGTATACGTATAACATGTATAAGTTTTATACGTTGTAGAGCCACGCTGCAGCTATATTATGGTTGTAGCACGAATGGGTCGGCACGACCGGGTTAAGGACCATGCTCTCACAGAATATCAGCGTAAAATAGCTGCGCAATGTTGCGGTGTTTTGTATGGTGAGTGTAGAGATGCGGAGACCCTTTTTTTACTGGAAACGAGGCATTCTATCTTAGTCCTCAGGGGTGACAAAACATCTGCAGCGTGACTTTAATAGACTTTAACGGTTAACCGTTAACGGTGCACTATGGAATGGGTCGTAAGGGAAAACGCAGTGTTTTTTAACCAGACCTAAGAGTAATGTAAAAGTATTTTATTCGGGATTTTTTATACAAAATTCTTTCTTGTTTATATTCGCAATGCGAAAGTTAATTCAAAAGAAGGGGGATAAAAGTAAAATTGATTTTGATACTTACAGCAGACTTGTATTTTAGTAGTTAAACTTTTCACAAAGTATGTAGAATCGTCTGGCTTAATTTAAAACTAACAGCTGACCTGTATTTCGATGTCAAAATAGTAGGTCGTACAGACTTTTGTGCTTTTGTAGTAAAGTATTTTTGATAACTATTTTACTGGTACTTAGGAATATTATAAAATATTATTGAACGATTCGAAGTAAAGAATGTCGGTGAAAACTGATTTTAAAAATATAAAATGTTATAATTGTATTTCATTGTTTTATTAGGCAAACATTTTTTACGTGGTAGAGCCACGATGCAGCTATAATATGGCACGAATGGGTCGGCTCGACCGAGGCAAGACTACGCTCTCACAGAATACCGGTGCAAAATAGCAGCATTATGCTGCTGTATTTCTTACGATGAGTGTAACTGTGACCCTTTGTACTGGAATCGAGCATTCCATCTTAGCCCTCAGGGGTGACTACGCATTTGGATTTTGATCCCTAATTGAGAATAAATGTGGGTGTCTATGGGCCACAGCATCCACTTACCATCCGGTGGACTGTGTGCCCGTTTGTCACCCCTATTCAATATAAAAAGAAAACACAATAATGATAAAGCACAAAATATCTCACCTGAAAACCCTAAGACTACGAAATATTACTAAATCGCTGGGGGCAACTCTGAATCCCCCTGACAGCCCAAAGCTTTTTACGATTTGATTAATGTATTCCAAGCTCTTCATCTATCTTCATTGTTCTTTTCATAATACGGTTTCGCAATTATCGAAATTTATTTGTCTAGTAATGTAGACGAAATTCGCAGAAAAACGCCAAATAAAATTTTATTAAATAAGTAACAAAAACACGTATTGGCAAAATTAAGAATTTTAAAATTAAGAACATCTTTATGGGTCAGACATTTTTTTTTTCTAAGGAGGAATTCAAAACTATAAATTGTATATTAAAATACGCATAGAATTAAGCAAAAATATTGAATTTTCCTAGAGAGTTTTGACTTTTCAGACACCAACTATACTGTTGCACTTTCTCAACAAGTAGAATTAAAGTTCAGGTTTAAGTTTCAGTAATTAATCTGAGTGTCAGTACTTCAAAGACCAAGTACTAATTTCAAGACTTTTAATAAAATATTTCCGTATTTCCGTTGAATTACAAAATCCTGCCTTTAAGTGCCAATATCACCGAGGTTTACGACATAGTAGCACGAGATGTCTGTGCAAATTTTCAATTAATAAACGTCACAGACAGGGCGGAATGCAGAATCTTACTGCTACTACGAAACTTACTGCTAATAAAAGGCCATAAATTAGATGAAAATGTAATAAATTTATGTTTAATGCCGTTACATAGTAAATCTGTTAATTTAAAATATCAGACATAATATAGAAATGGACATAAAACAAGAAAAGCCTAGTAGCTCTAGGTATTTATTTAGAAAGTTAGCAGTAATGTATAGGTCAATGTTTTAAGATTTATTTATGTCCTCGTCTTCATCAGCCTGTAAAAGTCACATACCGCGTATTGGTGGCGTAAGATAATCCATCACCCCATTCCGTTTCGTGAGGACGACCTCCAAGAGACGAATGTTATCGCATCCGATACATGGTACATTTGGGTTTAGATTTATTTTATTTATTTATAATAATAATATCCTCCAGACCGAATTTTGGTCACGGCGGCCAGTCTCAATGGAGACTAGTTATCTGCACAGGACAGAAAAGTGCCCAAGTGTATGCGCGCAAGCACAGCTATCTCTATTCCTTCACTCTCATAGTCCGATGGGACGATAATTTGACATGACCGGATAGAGATTAAAAGCAGAATCATCAGCTTTATGTGCTTTCCTAGGCAGAGCGGTGAAACACCACAAATTTCCTAACTCCGAGCTGCTACTGAGTTTTTTTGACAGAAAAATCTAATTACTGATTTTGGCACGACCCGGTATTCAAACCCGAGACCCCGTGATCAATAATCGAGTTGACGACCACAAGACCCACGAGTAAGCTTTATTTATCTGTTTTAAAATAAGAAACATGCAGGCTTTTAGGAGTATCTTTGTTTATAGCTTGTCTATAATTCAGATTCGAAGATTGCAAACAATAAATAAATAATCATTACTCTCATCAATCATTATCCATTAGGATTATATCAAAACCAATATTGCTCATTTCATCCAAATTGAGTTTTCAAACAGAATGCTGAAATAAAATGGTTGAGCCAATTAGCCTACTTTCATTAACACCTTACTTTATTGCGAAGTCTTTTAGTGCTACTTTAATTATAGCGTGCTCTTTGTTGTAAAGGGGAATACTCACTTTGAACGTTATCCTAAGTATTTTTATTACTTACTATTTTAAATTATTTTTATGACATATCTATTAGAAAAAAATGTTAAAACATGTAAAGAAAACTTATGAACGAGTTATTGATGTATAAAGGAACAGATAAAAGAAATCTACCTAATCATTGTAATGAAATGAAATAAAATACGAAATAAAATGAAATATTTATTTGCGTTTGGTTAACGTACACTGAAGATAGTCATATTAATTAAACATCCGCTTAATCAGCCATTATCAATAGTATGCAAATCTTACAACCATAAAATAACGATATAATAATATTATATATGAGTAAAATATCTAAAATAACAAAATGCCAACAAGTAATCACTAAATAGGTAATAATACTTAAAAATATTTCACAATTGGTCCAATAAATTTATATCAGTCTAGTTGCTATTACGTATCCTAGTTTAAATATTCCTATACAGTGTAAAAAGTCTTTTTACTGAGCCAGTTATATAATTCTCTTTTAAATTAAGTATAAGGTAAAAGTGTCTTCTACTTACCGCTTGTAGAATCTTGGAATTACAGGAGCAGTAAGAAGGGCTTTCTCCTCAAAGTACTCCATTAATATGTCTGCTACTATGTGAGACACAGGTGAGCCCATCACCACACCATCAACTCGACGCAAATTTACAAGCGGTACGCAAACGACAACTCCATTAACACTAGAATACAATTCACAATGGAGTTAGAGGCAAATAATTATTAAGCTTTTCTGAATGTTGTAGTCATCCAAAATCCTGGTAACATTATTGGTCCCACTGTGTATAGAAAAAAGACCCATACCAATCGACATTTAAATGATGAATCTCATATCATCCTTCACAGTTAGCTACCGTGGGTAAATCTTTGTTTCAGAGTGCACGAGGGATCTGTGACAGAAAACATCTGGCTGCCGAGTTTCAGCACGTCAAGCAAGTATTGCAAGACAACGAGCTTCGGGTTCCGTGCCTACGTCACAGTGACTGAGTGAAGCTGGCCACTGTCGAGCGTGTGCCTGCTGTACTACTATATGTCAGAGGAGTTACTGACAAGGTTGGCTACATCTTGAAGCGAGCTTCTATTAAAACATATTACAATCCGCCGAAGAAGATAAGTCAAATTTTACCAATCATCCAGGAGCTAGATTGTGAATGTGGTCTCTCTTACATAGGTCAAAAAAAAAGATCTATAA